TGCGCTGAAGCCTTACCCAAGGTGGGGGCCACTGAAGTCTATGCAGTAGATGCACGGAAATAGACAGTGGCTGTCAGGAGAATTTCTCAGTCTGAATTACAGGATTTTCCCATCATTCTGTTTTAACCACTTGCCCCCTTTCGCCCTGAAGCCAATCCCAGCTTTTCTGTTGAATGCATCTCTCAGCATTTTAAACTGTACACGGCAAAGCAGTGCAGGGCAGGGAAATTAAGAATGTGCTTGTACTGGTTATGTTCCCTTTCCTGGAAAATGTGAACTGAATGAAAAACACTCTTCAAGAAGATCCCTGCCTCTCCAGGGTGGACATAGGAGATGACTTCATTGGGGCTGTTCTCATTCTAATTTGTCTGAGTCTTGGGCCACACAAACTATATATTTTTTCAGTCGCTGAGGTGTGCTGGGATGCTGGCATTTCCTCCTCCTCATTTACATGGTCTTCCCATAATCCAGCACTAAGACAAGCTGAACTGCATAAGGACTCCCTGCCAATGCCACTTGGGGCTTGCTTATGGAAGACCTCTGGAGAGCGATGGGAGGTGCTCCCTGCCCTTCTCCTCTGCCTGTGAAAGGGCTGAGTGTGCTACTTCTGCAGAACTAAGCATTCCTGCCAGCCCATAAATCAAGTGAGCAAACTCCATCCCAATCTCTGATCTGCTGCAGAAAAGCCCCATACTCTGCCTTTACAGCACACACAGGGCAAAGAGCTGTATTTCATCAACTGAAGCCTTAATATCAGAGGAGAGTCGTTACCTCCTGGAAAAAAAAAAAAAAAAAAGCACAGCCAGAGTCTTACTAGTCCTGCAGCTTGGCTTCCCCATGTTTACACCAAATGACTTGTTGAACTTCATTATATACAAAGTATTTCCATAGATCAGAGGCAGGGAGACCTGTGCAGCTAACATAAAATAAATTACCACCCTGTGATAAATGGTTCTATTAGCAATCCAGATTGTTAAACTCAGATACAACAGGATGAAGGGAGCACTGCCCCATTCATTCTCCCTGCGGCAGATACTGAGTTGTAAATAGGTTATTTTGTGTGTAAATAACACATTAAAACTCAGCATTAGCCGTGTCTTTTGATAGAGAGGAAATTGTTCCAAATAAATAATTTCGGACAGGAATGTAAAATAAGCCAGATTTAATAGTGCATGCCTGCTGTAGCTGTGTTAAACATGACTAAAATGATAAACCCCAGAATATACTAATAGTAAACTATGCTCTGACATCAAAGTAATGAGGCTGTATTTTTACCCAGCTTTAGAAATGCTAAAATTAGTCTTGACAGAGCCAGACATCAGAAAAATGTTTCAAACATAAACACCATCAATTTGGGAACTTGGAGTTTGTGTCATGCAGAGGGTGGGGAGGCGAGGGAAAGGTGCATTCTGGACCTTGTTAAAGTTGGGCAGTTAGCATTTAGGAGAATTTGTATTTAATTTTTATTACGAGATGAACGACCTATCTTCCTAAATATCTCTGCCTTTGAGAGAGTGGCTCATTTAAATTTCCCCTACAGTCATGTGCCTGGGCTTCCTCATGCCTGTAGGTACAGAGGATGTGTCAGTGCCAGCCTGAAGGACACAACCCAGCCTCACTTGTGGTGCTCTGCACCACCCTCCTACCCTACACAGCAATATGGAATTTGGCATTCAACGAAAGGGTTTTTTGAACTTTAATTGTTTTAAGTTGCCCTTCCAGAAGTAGGGACAATAAAACCAAGAGCCTCTTCTTTAGATCTAACTTGTCTATAGCTCCTACATACTGTCAATATAAACACTTTCCATCTCAGTCACACATACACATGTGCCCCTACTGCAAGTGAAAAGAAGAGCTTTGACTCCTTGGCGAATATGATTTATGGAAAACCAGAAAATTAGGATAGACTTTCCTGATGTCATATCTGTGAGGCCAATTTCTGAACATCTGATCAATGAGTTACTATAAAAAAACTGTCGCAGATGATGTTTAAAATGGCAGCTTCAGAAGACTAAAAATATGGGATGCAAATTTTTAGTACAAAAGGACTCTTCTCTACTGCCACCATCAACAATATTGATCTCTTTTCCTACAGCTATAACTTAATTTGTTAGAGGCTGGAAACATTTGGGACAAATACCCCAAGCAAAGGAACTAGAAATGCAGACTGAACATATTATCTTATAAAAATACAGACTAAATAGTAATATAATCAAATAGTTATTCTTCAATTATTTAACTAATATTCAGTTTATTTCTTCAATTAATTAGAAATAAATCCTTATGAATATATTAATTCCTACAAGTGAAAAAGAAAACCTTATGATCTGAGAAACATACAGAACATGCTATGATGGCACTCCTTCAGTGTGACTCAGTAGAATAAAGAAACGTATTGCAAATTACATTTGCTTGGCTCTGGAGAGCAGCTTGGTGATTTGCAGCACTGGCTGAGCCTCACTGCCACTTTCTCACATGCTAGTACAAAGAGTCAAACCTCTGCAATAAATGAAACCAAGAGTTTGTCTTGGATGAGAATAAAGACTTGCTCGTATGGCCCCAAAGCATGGTGGGGAGCTGAGAGGGCCCCCCTTTAAAGCTGATGCCTTCCTCAAGCTGAACTTCCTAATTAATCTCCATGTCTCGTTTGCTTTCTTCTGTAAAAATATGAGCATAAATACTTGTAGTTCTGGTCTGTTGTGAGTAATTACTTCAGTTTAGGGAATCAAACATGTTGCATTAGCATGAATACCATGTAAGTAGAATCTCATCTCTAGCCAGCCTTTTTGCCATCACCTGCTACATCACACCTTGCAGTTAACTCATGTTAGAAGACAACTCTGTATCAATTTTTCTACTTTCAAGCACACGCACAAGCATGCTGCTGGCTTTCAGGAGCCTGTATTATGTCTAGCCAGAGTTCAAAGGAAAGCACGTGGAACCACAGGAGCACGTGCATCACCTGCAGCGTCCCGGGCCAGCGTCCGGCCACACACTGCTCGCCCGCTGCCCATTTTGGGTCATTTATGAGCACTTTTCTTCACAGCATGACATAGATTTCACTCTTTACATCTCATTACACAACACTTTTATCACAATTCCCCTGACATCTTCAAACAATCCTCAACTTACTTCTCCACTTCCTCCTACTAAAAGGAGAAATATTGAGGCCATAAATCACTTTTTCCAAAGGTGAGAGCACACTGCTAACAGAACATATTATGCTGGACGCTTAAAAACCAATTAGGTCTCCAGGGATGCCAAACGGGCTGATGGACACTCCACCTCGGGGCATCCTCATTTGGATCTCTGGAAAGGTTGTGACTGCTTCCTCAGTGGAGGTACTCCCAAGGCAAGTGCCAAGTGGGGAGAAGGTGTTTATTCATAACAGCACATCTATGGGTTGTAATTTTAGAATATGTTTGGACTATGTTGGGGCCAATCAACCCTTCAGTCTGCCACCACTGAGATGATATCTCAAGTGGGCTGCCTCAGAAGTTCCTACAGCCTTTGCTTCTTCAGGGATTTGCTGGGGGATGCCAAGCTTCTGCACGTTGCTGTCCCCCCTATTTCAGCCTCCTGCAAGCCTTCCTTTCTGCCACTTTGTGCAGTGCTCATAAGGAAAGTGGCTCAGACACATCCAGGACCACAAAACTGCATTTCCCTCCAAGCAATTTTGTAAAAGACTTTCTGGTTGCTTGTTAAAAAAAAGTTTATCAAACACATGAACTAATCTGATAGATTATTAGCCACTCCTACTTTATTCTGTTCATCTGAATCTTCACAGGTCAATTGGAAAAAGAAACCTGAGTAGCAAAGTTTACAAAAAAGGAGAGATAAAGCAGATTTAAACCTTTTTGGTCGGAAACTATCTTCAAAACTCAGGCAACCAAAAACTCAAACTCTCCAGCCAATCTAGGTAAGAAAGAGAAGAGCTCACAGAAGAGTCGTTCTGTTCTCCTGGGGTGATGAAATACCACCCCACAGTGAAGGAAAGGGAGGGGACAGGTTCATTTTGAGGTAGACTCTGACTAGCAATAACGTGCATTTCAAAAAAGAAAAAAAAGCTGTCTGCAAAATTTACACAGCCGGGGTGTCTCTTGTAACATCCAAACTGCTGCAGCCTCGCCTAAATTTGTCTCTTATACCCTGCCCAGAGATGACAACCAGTCCCCAGCGAGGGCAGCTGTGGTGGCTCCCCAGTGGGCAGGCACAGCCTTGCCCACAGCTGTGCCACCATGATGGGCCCTGGCACTACTCTGGAGATCCACCAGCACACGTGTACCAGAGATTTTTGTGTTTTGCCTGCCACAGCAAGCAGGAAGAGGCAGGAGCAACATCCCTGCATGTTTACCTGCACACCACAGTTACATCCACCAGTAATGTGGCTTCCACAAGAGCTTCCCCGCTGACTTCAACAACAGCAAGACCAAAATCTTGCTTAACACACTGATTTGAACAGGAACAGCACAAGTGGAGGGGTTTCTTTATGAACATTCTTCCAGTGGGTCTGGACATTCCCAATTCCTCTCTAACCATGAAATCCCAGCAGCAATGACTGAAGACTGTGCACTCTGTTTAGCTCATTAGCAGGATCACAGCTGGCACATGATACCCCTTTCTGACCAGGATAATGAGGTGCTCCCCATCTCCAGCCAGCCCCACCAGGCACTCTTAACTCCACCATGAACGAGTGGAGGGCACAGCGCTGCCAACACTGTGCAGCACCAGTCAGCTTGTGCAAGTATTGATGGGATGCCCCAACTCCCCCACAGCCACCTCTCACCACCCATCCCCTGTCTCATCCCAGCCCAGTTCTCCATCACACTACATTGATGCTTAGATGCCACACAGTGACACAGCTTCCAGTTCCTCTGACAGCCAAGAACCCCAATAAACTCAGCGTGTTCACAGGAAGACAGATACCGCCATACTTATTAAATTCTTACAGTCTAATGAAAAACACCCCTGCTGCTTTCAAATTGTGGAAAACAAAGTACCTCCTTGTGCCACTGCTGCTCCTGTTGCTGCTAAAGGAGGGGGTTTCTTCCCCGTCTCTGTAAAGCCATTCCCCTCCAGAACAGCACCTTTCCCTTCTTTTTTCCCAGCAGCTGTTGAAGCAGAAGTTTCCATCTTAGACGGGCATCTTCCAGCTCAGGAACCCTACAGGATATAAAACAAAACCAGATTCTGGTCACCACTCACAAAACAGGCAAAATCAGCTCCATGAAGCGGAAGATGGTTGGCAGAGTTCAAAAGCAAATGGCAAGCAGCAAAGAATTCCTGGGTTCCTAACTCCAGCAGTCACAGGCACAAAGGCCACAACCATGTAAAGGACTGGGTGTTCCCAAAGATCTACAAAGATCAGGACTAAAAAACAATCCCCAGCTAAACCTGGACTACACAGTAAAGTTTACAGGTCCAAAGGACTTTCCAGGATTACAGGATAGGTGAGATACAAATATTTAGCACACATAAAACGGATTTACCCATTGTATGCATGACCTAGACCATCCTAAGAAAAAACTCAGCTAAAAATTTCCAATAAAACACAGATAAACATATATTTAAAGTGTTTTGTTTTTTGTTTGTTTTTTTTTTCTATCCCACAGTGGATGCTTATGCTGTGGGCTGGCTTGGAACCAGCATCATGATCAGAACTTTTCAGCAATGCTTACAGATAAACCACAGCAGGTCTGCCACATCCCATCAAGTTCTCACTGGTGAAATCTAATAATGCTGATTGCTGTCTCTGCCAAAAAAGTTATATCCTGAGCAACTGCATCTGAAAATCAGCTACAGTTTTAATCCATTACAAATGGTGAATTAAATGCCATGAAATATCCACAAAACAAGAAGATACCAAAGTACAAATAACCTAGGTTTTTAAACTTAGGTTGATAAAACATAGCAGCTCCTGAACTTTTTGCCAGCTTGACCATTTTTTTCTGCATGACTCAGACTTAAATGGTCTCCCAAAAGCAAACATATTGGTATCCCAAACTTATTGTAAAAACGGAGTTTCTTTTAAATGAAGAGGCATACTTTGTTTCTGAATGCAAACACTTTGTTCCTCTCATTTTACCTTGTTTGATTTCACATGTCTCCACCTGACTCCTGCTTGCACACAACCAGACAGTTACCTGGCACTACCAGCCCCAGGCTGGTCTTGGGAAAACCCACTGCTAATTCCGCTTTCCTTTCTAATTTTAATGCAGATCTGCGATTTTTCACATGCAAATTTTCAAATGCAAATTTTTCACCTCCTGAAATACTCTGGAGCACACTGGCTGTTTACCTTACTTACTGGAATTAATGGGATCAGGGGAATATCTGGGAAACCAGAACATTTTTTTGTGTGTGTGCGGGTAGTTTTATCGCCATTGTGTCAATTCAAAACTTCCCTCCCTTTGCTCTGGAGGACTGACTGACTCCTGAACATATTGAACTAAAAGGTAAACTCTCCTAAAAACTTTAAAGCACAAAGATTTCAGGAATCCACACCCTGAGAGGGACCTGGTGCCCACCACACAGCCGTGTGCTGCAGCCCGAGAGCTCAGCCCAGGAGCCTTCAGGCGTGGCTTGCATTAACGGGACAACGAAGTGATGGATCTGTGGTCACAGTCTGCAGCTGTAAACTGCAGAGCTCGCATTGGAAATGACAGGACCCACAATTACAGGCTTTACTGATGACACAAGACTCCACTGAATACCGAGGTGGCCCCTCAAGGTCCTGCCCCGGCATGTGCTGGGCTTGATGGCAAGCATGGGATGGGTTCCTGGGGGCCAGGACTTTACAGTGGTTTAATCCAGGAATCAGGTTGGGTTACAGGCCACGTATGAAATAAATACACCCAAACTGCAGGAGTATTTGACCTAGGTCTGACAGCCTGGGCTTCTGTTCGTTAAGCAAATAAACTTCAGAGGCTCTATTACTAACCCCCCACCTGTTTCTTCTTAGTCCCTCCTTTCAAGGCTTTGCACTTTTGTTTGAAACCAGACGCTGGCCCTCACACCCCAACCCCCTTCTCTGGATACCCTGACCCTGGGGGCAGCCCCGGGGCTGAGGGAGCATCCTCGGGCACTGCAAAGCTCAGCAGTCAGCGAGGGGAAGGAAGGAACTGGTAACAGGACTTGTTCTGTGAAACATGCAGATTAGAGCCATGGTTTTTTCCCAGAGATGCCTGAAGCAAAATCTCTACATCCCTGCCACAGACACCTCAGTAAGGACCCAGTTTTTCAGATGTGTCATTTATCCAACTGGAATGTGACAGGAGATCATGCCTGTATTTGCAAATCTGGTCTTTGCAGCTGTAATGCTCTCTTTTCAGATGAATTATGAATTTAAAACAATACTCAAGTGTTTGCAATAAGTGGTTGTATTAAACAGGTAAATCCTCAAATACCAGATTAGAAAAAAAATAAATAATGCAACTACTCTAATCTCACAGGATTTAGGGTAGTAAGTCTATAATTATTTTTGCTTCGTAAAGGTGCCTGGGGCAGAGCAGGCTGGCTATGAGGTTCTGAGCTTTTCCCCAAGTCAGCAGCAACTAAAAGTCATTTTCCTTTCACAGCATCCCACAGCCAGAGCTGATCATCTCAGCCCAGGAAGACACAAGCATCCTTCCTGCCAGATCCTGCTCTGCCCAGCACCTCTGCCCACAGACCAGGACAGAGACCAGTGAGCAAAGGAGCACCAGCACTGATTTCATATCCCACCTTCTGAGGTTTCACAGACACTGGCCAAGAGCTGGTGACCAGCAGTCATCCCAGTGGTGCAAGGTGTGACCAGGACACAGCGCTGGAACTCTGGAGATTTAGGTCCCCATCATGGACCTGCTACAGACGCCTCAGTGTCCCTGGGCAAAAAGCTTAACTTTTCTCTTGCAACCAGTTTCCACAGCCATAAAATAGGAAATAGTACTTTGCCCTATTTGCAAAGTGCTTTGAGATCCTTTGAGGCACAAGGCTATGGAAGTGTTTTTATTACCAGTATAAGAAGATATATTGGTGGAGGCAGTCAATCCACACTATCCAGGAGCACAACATTCATTTTTTAAGCAATGCATACTTTGCTTTCTGTTCGATGCTAAACTTTTTCTGCTGCTCTGTGCCACACAGAATTTATAAATTCAATGACAGATTAATCTTAGCAGTGAGCCATTTGGCATGAAAAAGGGTTTCACAGGGAGCCTGCTTTTTCCTGTAAAGAGCATGCATTTAGGAGTGACTATACAGAGAAAGACCCTATGCACTTATTCAAGCACAACTCTCTGCCCTCCGTCATTACTCAGAATTAGAAAACCAGAATGGATTACTCAGATTTTTCCTAAGGTTTGTAGCTTTCTCTGCAGGAGGAGGGCTGGGTAATTGATTTTGACACTAATACCAGCACTATTCATATGCCCTGTAATGTAATTCTGCAGTGACACTAAAAAGGCAGCCATCTGAGATCTGAACAAGGAAAGTGCTATATGATTTGCCCTAGACAACCCTAGCTATTTTAACAGCTGTGTTGTATATTAAAAGGGAGAAATCCCAACAGAATTAAAAACAACAAAGTCACATTTGCCTTTGAGGGAAAACAAGAAGCCGTAAACTTTCCTAATAAAACAATCCCTCCTGCCAAGTGCTTGAGGAATGGTCTAAAGTGCTGTCCGAAAATGCCTGTCTCGATTGGAGGGCATCAGCCTGAGCAGGACTGCTGGCAAACTCAGGAATGAACAGACAGTCATCAGCCATACCCTCTGCACACCCTTTTTTTTTTTTCAAAAAGGCAATTATTTCCTTCTTCAGGATTGTTCTTTCATCAGGAAACCCCCTTCTCCTCCCCTAGACAGGGCAGAAAACATATTTTTTTTCCTTCTCTGTGAAAAATGAATGACCAATTTTGCCAACTTCTGCTCAAAGATTAAGTAGCATCATGGGAGTGATCCTCTCTGGCAGAGGGCAGGCACTCCCCAGTGACACTGTGACTCAGATCCAATCCTGAGTGCCACCCTCAAGCCTGGTAGCCCCATGGAAGGGGCAGAAAGGGATTTCCAAAGCATGCTTCCAGAAGCCATCTCACTTTTTGGGAATATTTTGGGCTTTCTCAGAGCAGTGTGTATTCTCTCTTCATTCTGAGTTCATCCCCACCTGATCTCCCGATGCACAGCCCTAGCAGAGCCAGTGAGGTGGCGTCACCTCCAGGGGACACGCTGGAGGTGTGCTGGCTGCTGACACCAGTGCAGCACCACAGCCACTATCCATCACCACTGCTGTTGGCTCCAGGCAGGACTGATGGGAGCTGGGATAACCAAGGGCAGCCTTTGCACAGCTCTCACCCAGTTTGTGCTCAGGCACCCACAAGGAGACAGTCAATTCTGCCACATCAGCCCTATGCAGACACGATCCCAGGTCTAAGAGCTTTTCCTGGCATGCTGCTTTAGTTAAGATAAACAAGGACATACTCCTGCCATCTCTTCTTTTGCAGTGGACTGTGTCATACAGCTCAAGCCTTCTGAATACATGATCTACTCATGAAATTCAGTGTGAGCCAACTGCTCTGAACATTGGCTTAATACAGTGGCTGCTGTGATCCTTTTGAGTCTCCCAGGGTTTGAGCCAAATTATGTTCTCAATTACACGGAAGTAGCAGCAGTTAACCCGGTGAAGTCACAGGCTCTGTACCACAGCAAAACTTAACCCCTTTATTTTCTTTTATATCAGCAAATGCTTCAAATTACTGAAGAAAGTTTTTTCTGTCTAAATGCCACTAGTAAATCTTGGGACTATCCAAACAGGCTGTCTGCTGCTGAAGGACCTACAACTGTTTACAGAATATCAATCTCAGGTAAAAGCAGCATAAATATTAATTCAGAACTAATCACTTTTGAGGTCCTCCTGACAAAAGGTTTCCCATCTTGACATTTCTTGGGAATGGTTTGCTTGGGCCAATCCTACAGGGTTGATTACACATGAAAATTAGAGCTGTACATTGTGGCAGCAGCTCTCTGTCTGGGGGTCGCTCCTGCTCCTTCCCCTCAAAAAACCTTCTGTGGTGGGTCCCTACCAGCTTCTGGGATGAAAGGAAGCAGAGACAAACCCATGCTGGCAGAAGTAGGGCTAGAAGGGCACAGAGCTGCTCAGGGGTTATTCTACTTTTCTACCCCCTGCCC